CGAAGCCTCGTGAGCTTCCAATTAAACAACACTGCGCCTGGACTTGTACTTGACCCCCCGTTGTTTTTGACGCCTTGGCAGGCTGGCAGTCAAATCGATGCCGAGATTGACCGAGGAACTATTGATGGACCCAGCCAGACCCCCCAGGCGGCCCCGAAGCGAGGTGGCGACAAATTCGCTGGAGGCCACCAAGGCAGCCTTGCCCAGGGAAATCCGAGCCCCCATCCCCCCTGCGATGGCGAGCTGGAGGTGGGCGGCAGCTTCGCCGAGACAGCTGGCGACTTGTCTGGGGGAACCCGAGGAGCAGAGCCGGAAGTCATCAATGTACGCGTCCAGGCTGACTTTCGGAGGGAACGTGAGCCCGTCGAGCGCCTCCACAGCGTGGATGCGGACCATGGTGGTGGCTACCCCGCAGCCCGCAGTCACACCGTGCTCAGCGTTATAGGCCCCTACGATGGCGTTCGACAGCGAGACAAACCTGGCCATGCTGTGCGCCTTGACAGCGAGTCTAGCAATCTGGACCGAAAACATACATCGGCTGCACCGCTGAAGGAGCGTCTTTAAGTGAATCGTTTCGAAACGCTTGTACAGATCCCAATACAGCGTGGCGCTAGCCTGTCCTTTCGTGACCGCTCCTTCAGCTCGTGTGCTCTGCCTCCATATCACACCCACAGCGGACGTGAATTGAGACCCAGCAAAGTATTTACGTTGGTAGTTTGCTTCCCATGTGATAGCGCATCGCCTTCTACACCTCCCCCAGATGCGGTAGTTGCTGCAAAACAAGCCGATGGGCCGAAAACCTCCCGTGGGTTTGTTGAGAAGTGACAGCACGACCAGGGAAATCTGCCCATGGAAAAGCCCCGGCGACTCCGAAATCGCAAAAATGGTGGCCAGCACACGCAGGGACCAGGCCGATAAATTGGCATCGTGCTTTATGGGATCCATCCACCGCCGCGGCAGTCCTGGATGGGCACCGCCTGGAGGCCGATCTGAGTTCCTCAGGAGTGAGCCGAGGGAGGGGCTCAACACATTGGTACGAACTGGGAGGAGGAGGAGGAGTAGGAATGGAGGTGGCCCGCCACAAGGCGCTGAATCTGGTAGCTTCAGCCGAAAGCAAGGCGAGAGGATCAGAGAGGACACCGCCTTCTCTGCTCAAAGTGGTGGTGGGTCGCCATGAGGTCACTTCCGCGCGCGCGTCGATGCGCGCGCCTGGCCCCCGGGCCAATGGAATCGAGAAGCCAGCCCTCCCATCCCTTGAGGGCTTTTTCTCTGGCCTGGACCGAATGCCTATGGCAACGCAAACCAATGTCAGCGAGGATGGCTTCCCCTAGTTGGGTGTCGAGTTGATCAGCTGCCCCGGTGAACATCTGCACGCGCTGCAACTGCGCCCAGTGGCCCTCCGCGCCCGCCCGGCGAAACTGAGGCGGCGAGAGCGGCAGGCGCCCGACGCCCTGGGCCGGAGGGGGCCCTGCACAGACAGCGCCTTACCTAAAGAGGGAGGGTCCGGGTTGGCGATGGGGGGCTCGGCGGCCCCGGTCCAGGATGTTGGCCCAACGCTGTGGAGGGCGTTTCCCCCTGCACCCCCCCCCCCAACGCGGAAGGGCGGTTCGTCTCCCGCCCGCGAGCTCCCTCTCCGAGAGGTCGGCCCACGAGCGATGCAGCGCGTCCAGCCTGCTCTGGACGTCCGTGGCGTCGCCCTGAGGGCACGCGTTGAGAGCAGCATCGGCATCGGCTTGGACTTGCTCCCAGGATGGAGGAGGGGGCGCAGGACCGACAGGCGCCGGCACGGGAAGAGGAGGAGGCTTCCTGATCACAAGTCTTCGCAGCTGGCCTATACCAGCATGAAGAGTAAGCCGCACTGGAACATGGGTAACAATGTTGGAGGTGAGCACAGCGTCAACTTTGGAGATACCTTTGGCCAACCCCCCCGACACCAGGAAGTAGTCCAGGATGTGGTTCCCACAAGTGGGCTGATTGTTTGGGGGGGCGATGAGCTGACCGCGTATTCTGTTGACTATGCCCGAGGAGGTCAGCACTTCTGGTGACATGTTAAAGTCGGCTCCAATGATGGACGGCGATGCCAGCTCTTCAGTAAGTGTACCAACGAGAGCAAGCAGGTCCACATTGGCTTCCGACAGCCCTTCGCTATCCCTCGTGTGCGTGCTGCCCAAAGGCACTTGACCACTGCTGCCTGGCAAGTGCACGATGGCTCCGGCCGGCCGACGGGCAGCAGTGACGTGACCGCCAGGCGGCGCGAACAGCAGGCCAAGAGATGCGTTCGCCAAAATGCGGGCTCCTGCTGACGTGCCACCGCCTGTGCCACGCGCACCAGGGCATAGTATAGCCTTCCACCCATGCCGATGCGCCCATCCCGTGGCCTGATCTATAGCATGCCCCAGCAGTTGGTGCTCTTGTAGCAACAGGATGTGCGCTCCACCTGTTGGCAGCCACGCCTTGAGTCCCCCTCCTGATTCAGAGTTCCACGACGTGACATTGACCGACTGGACGACAAGCTCAACAGAGGTTGTTCCAGGGTTGGGCTGGGGGTCGAAAAACGGAAAATATTGCCGCCCAGTTTTGGGCTTAACCAACTGACAGGAGCCCGAGGTTTGGGTCCTAGTAGGGCCTTGGCGGGCCCGTGGAACGCGGAACCGAGGGTCGTCCAGAAATTCACGCAGAAGGTGCCAGGGCCTATCTGTGGCCGTGCCACGCCGAATCACATCCCCCATCGAGCTGCTAGTGGTACGGTCGTTGGGGTACTGGGCACAAACATGCTGACGCGTGCCCTCGTGCTGGCGAGGCCCCCCTCCTCCTCCTCCTCCTCCTCCTCCTCCTCCTCCTCCTCCTCCTCCTCCTTCTCCTTCCTCCTCCTCCTCCTCCTCCTCCTCCTCCTCCTCCTCCTCCTCCTCCTCCTCCTCCGCCTTGCCAGCGGGGGGGGGGGCTCTTGTGAGAGCAAAGCCTGGGCTCACTCACGGATGCTCGTTGCAGAGGCCGCAGGCCTGCCCCCGTTGGCTCCACCAGCGGTGGCAGACGCGGCTGGAGTCGCCGTCGACTCGGGGGCGTAGGCGGAGGTTGCCAGTGTCCGCGGGAATCTTCTTCACGCTGCGCAAGGGCAGGAGGAGGTAGTGGGACTGGGGCGCCAACGACTGGCACTGGCAGCGCAAGGTGCAAGGCGGACGTGGCGCAGCTGTGGCCCGCGCCACCAGCGCTGCTCGCGCGGTCTAGGCAAGAGCGTCGTTCTCTCCTCCCTCGCGAGGCGAGGTCGCTCGGGCCGAGTAATAAGATGTCGTCTTTGGGCTCCAGGGCGCCAGGGGAGAGGCTCTGCGAGGCCCCGCGCGGAGGCGGCGACAGTGGCGACTGCCTGGGGGGGGGGGGGCGGTCCTCGGCCCCAGACAACAAACAAAGACGAGAAACTATCCATCGACTCTTGAGTCGGACATGTCCTTCTACAGGAGGAGGATTCAAACACAGTCACACACACACACGCACACAAAAAACATAATGTGGGAACGATTGCTTGACTATTATTGAACATGCCCGCGCAGGTGGACATGCCCGCGCAGGTGGACATGCCCGACCTAAAGAGACTCTCGGGTCTCTCTGCCCTCAGCGAAGGTAGGTTTCTCGTCATCAGCAGGCCAGGCTGGGTCTCGAGGCCCGGGGGCTTTGCGCAGCTCATCCGGCACACCATAGCATGTTACGTGGACCTTTTTCAGAAGCCGTCCCCAGAAAGACGTAAAGGGCGGATCTCAGGAACCCTCCGTTTGCCCTGCCGTCTCGCACGTGCGGTTCCCCGCCCATTTCACAGCGCGCCTCATACGTTTCGTGGCTCTAAAGGGAAGCTCGACCGAAGGCTCCGGCGGTAAAGTCCGCGTGCGCTCACCTGCCCACGTCGGCGCGCTCCTCGCACGCCTCGTGGCCCCGCAGGGAGCTCGGCCGAAGTCCCCAGCGGCGCAGTCCACATTAGGGGTCCCCCGCCCGCTTCGGCACACCCCTCGCGTGAAGTCGGGCCTGTCCCTCTGCAGGAGGAAGTCCAAAATAGTCCAGAAATAGTCTGGGGGCGATTCTTCTCGTCTCTTTCGGCACTAATTTTCAGCGTTTCTTGAGCATGTTTGATGCTTCGTCCAACATCCGCCGCTAGGAGGACATGCCCGACCTGACCCTCCCACGTTTCGTGGCCAGGCAGGGAGCTCGACCGAATGCCCCAGCGGCACAGTCCACGTGCGGTGTTCCCCGCCCATGCCGGGAGGAGGAGAAAGAGGGAGGCGGAGGAGGAGGAGGAGGAGGAGGAGGAGGAGGAGGAGGAAGCGGGAGGAGGAGGAAGCGGGAGGAGGAGGAGGAGGAGGAGGAGGAGGAGGAGGAGGAAGGAGAGGGGAAGGGGAGAGGAGGAGGAGGAGGAGGAGGAGGAGGAGGAAGGAGGAGGAGGAGGAGGAGGAGGAGAGAGGAGGAGGAGGAGGAAGGAGGGAGGAGGAGGAGGGAGGAGGAGGAGGAGGAGGAGGAGGAGGAGGAGGGAGGAGGAGGAGGAGGAGGAGGAGCGCCCGCACGGAGTTCTCGACCGAGGGCCCCAGCGGCAGCGTCCGCGCGCGTCCCCCCGCCCGTGTCGGCGCACCCTCCGCGCGCTCCGTGGCCCCTACGGGGGATCCCACCGAAAGGGCTCTAGTGGCAACGTCCGCCTGCGCCCCCCTGCCGCTTGTAGCGCGCCATTCGTTCGTCTCGTGGCTCCAGGGGGGCCTCCATCCACCGAGTGCGGCGCCCACGACGCAGCAGTCAGACTTGCATCTGCTTGCGTTGGCCTTTCGCCAGGATGTTCTTGTCCAGTTGGGGCCATTTCGCTGTCACCCCAAACCGCAAACCCCATGCCACCATGGTATACCACCATGGTATGCCATACGTTGTAGCGCGCTGGTATGGGTTGCTATGCTACGTCACGCGATTCTGCGCTCTGCAAGCAGATGCCATCCAATGCAGCGCACTGTTATACCATGCCTTGCCATGCAATGAAGAGCAATTCTGGCTCAGGGGTGACTCTTCAAGGCGGGCGTCGCGCCTCGCGCGGTCCAGAAGCAGGAGGCCGCGCCGCGTCAACGATGGCGAGCCGACGCGTCCTTCTTGTCATCGCGCTGCTGGTCGTAGGACAGCCCACCCTGGTGGTCGCCGGGGGGGGGGCATGACAACGACAGCAGCGGCCTCCCCATCGGCGACGTGGACGAGGACACGGGCGGAGAGCATGCCGGGGTCATCGGAGAGGAGATTGCGAAGCCCATCATTTGGGTGCAAGACCATGGTGCCGACTGGCTGCTGGAGAAGATGTTGCCCATGGTTGCGGAGGAGTACAGGTACGTGACGATGTACTTCATTCGCGTCGTCTGGCCGCTGTTTGACATTCTTGTACTGTCTGCAGCCGTCCAGCAAGCCTACCAAGTGGGCGGCTGGATGCTCACGAGGCCCCTGACCGCAATCCGGCTCATCCTCGTGCACGTCGTCCCGCTGTTCATGATCGGTAGCGCCGCCTTCCTCACGCCCTGGCCGTGCTGCTCCCGATGGCAGCAAATCTGGCAGATCCTGCTGGGCATGGACACGGTTCTGTACGTGGTCACGTTGCTATACGCTTCGTGCGACAAGGAACTGAGAAGGTGGTTGACGGACGATGGCATGGGAGTGGCGTGTGTGGTGCTGATGTCATTGATGCCCGTACAGACCACAGCTGCTTATCGTTATGGGGAACATCTTTATATACCTATGCTGATAATTACTTGTGCCGAAGTGGCCTGCCTGGCCGCCGCCGCCGCTCAGTGGCTCCCCTTTTGGTCACCTGGCGAGCATTGCCACCCGTGCGTTGCAGCGACGGCTGCGTACGTGGCCAAGCTCCTTGGCGGTGTTGTGTTTTACTTTGTTGACCTGCTCCGGCCGCTTCCAATCCTTTTTGGCCATGAGGCTAACAGAATGAGGCAGTTGCCATATGCGCAAGCTGCCACACCCGAGTAAGGGACTGCAGGCTGCCAAAGTGCAGCACTGGGGCCCGGGACTGTTTTTGCTCGACCTTTGGCGCCGGCGGAGTCCCCGCCAGAGCGGCTGCAGCTGGGCAAAGCTACCACTGCAGCGCAGGACGCCCGCGAGCACGCCCTCCCCAGCGAAGAACGCAGCGCCGTGTCAATGGCCCCCCTGCCTCTGCCCTCCCACTTCTTTCGATCTTCCCTGGAGTGCCGGCTCTCAGGGGTCCCTGTCTGCGTCTCGCCTTCGTGCGCGGTCCTCTCCCGCGGCCCCCTGGCCGCCGCCCGAGGTCGTCGAGCGCTCCGTCGACAGGGCCGCGGCGTCGGCCCCGGTGCTGAGCACCATCATGCCGAACTTCCTGCCTCCCTCCGGGCAGGCCCCGGGCGGCAGGCGGCCAGGCGGCGCGGGGCGGCGGGGGGGGCGCGGGAGGGGCAGAGGAGCTGAGGGGAGAGGAGAGGAGGCCGGGGGGTTTTCCGCCATTTTCGGCCTCCGGGGGCCCTTCCCGGGCCTCGGGACCGTCCAGCAACGACTCGGGGCGGAGAACCGGTCCCGGGGAAAGGGTCCAGACCTCTGGGGGTCGACGTTGTGCGAAAAGGCACAAGGTCGGGGGTCTGGGGAAGGTGGGGGGCCACGTGCGAACCCTGCCCCTGGCCCCCACGATTTCGGAGGGGCGGGGGGGGTTCACTTCGCTCGTGGGGGGCCCGAGCGAAGTGAGCCCCCCGCTCCCCCTCAGAAATCGTGGGGGGTAGGGGCAGGCTTCGCGCGTGGCTCCCTATAGAAGGGGAGGCGGACCCTGAGATCCGACGCTCCAACAAAGTTGGGGTGGGCGGTTTTTGGCCGTTTTCGGCCTCCGGGGGTCCTCGCCGGGCCTCGGGAGCAGCCAAAAACGACTCGGGACGAGAAACGGGCCTTGGGGAAGTGGTCCAGACCTCCGGGGTCCACGCATCAAAAAAATTGGAGCAGCTGGATGTCTGGGGAGGAGGAGGAGGAAACGAAGATGGGAAGAGGAAGGGTCCGGGGGAGGACGCGGGATGCAGGGGAAGAAGAACGAGGACGAGGACGAGGAAGGCGAGGAGGAGGAGGAGGAGGACCAGTGCAAACCCAAGATTCATCAACGATGCTGGAATGAACCCTCCCTCCAAGCTCCCTCCTCATAGACCCCAACAAGGGTTCATTGCCGTTGAAGGAACTGCCTCGTTGGGGGACACCATTCTCGGGACTCCAGCGCCCCAGGTCAACCTGACTGTTGCGTCTCGACGATCCTGAATCGTGCGAGAACACCATTCCTGGGACCTCAACACCACGAATCCATATAATTGTTGCACCCTCACAATCTCGAGTCCTTCCAAAACGCCAGCTCAGGTATTTTGACCATGGGAATCCGTAACAATCTGGCCAATTTTTAGAAAGCGTGCGCGCAGCGCTAAGGCGAGAGCCGCATTTTGAAAACGAGCCGTCCTCAATCGGTGAAGCTCCTGCATTATTTAAGCGAAAGTGCGCGGCGCTAAG